CTTGTATGCCGAAGAATTACAACTCCAAGAGGCTCTCGAGGCCTCAATCTCATTAAGCAATCTTCAGATATCTTGCTTGAGAGAGGCTGAATCATCACGATATTTCTGTGATATTTGCAGGGATGAGAAAGAAAACCACGAGATGTTCAAAACTATGACATGTTTTCACTCCTTTTGCACTGATTGCACTGGAAAACATGTCAAAACACAGATTGAACTGAATAGTTACCCTGTTACATGTCCAGGTTTCAACTGCCAAAGCTTTTTGGAACCAGACTCTTTCAGGTACATCGTAATTTTTCTTTATAGTTTGAACCATATAGTGTTTTCTCTTCGTAATTCTTAAGATTAGAAATAAAACCGATACAAATTGTCAAAAAGAAGAATCCCTTTGGTAAGTTGACCCGGAGAACGAGTCTTTTCTTCTCGGGGCTGAGGAGGCTTTGTCAAAGCAATAACGAGCTGATCTTGGGGATTTGCAGGTCTATCATTTCAGCAGATTTGATTGATCGTTGGGAGGCAGGACTGACTGAATCAACAATACCTATTTCTCAAAAATTTTACTGTCCTTACAAAAACTGCTCAGCCATTTTGCAGAATGACAACGGTGAAGAAGAAATCATTAGGGAATCCAAATGTCCAGAATGCCAGCGCCTCTTTTGTGCACAGTGTAAAGTCCCTTGGCATCCCGGATTTAAGTGCACAGAGTTTCAGAAATTCAATGAAAAGGAAAGAGATGAAGCAGATCTGTATGTGCGCAAACTGGCCAAGAAAAAGAAATGGCCTAACTGTCCCAATTGCAACTACATTGTGGAGAAGACTGAGGGCTGCATACACATCACTTGCAAGTTAGTTTCCTAAACTTTCACAAATCGAAAGCAAATTGCACAGAAGGCAAATTTAAGTTTATTCGCTTATCGTTGTTAATGTCAGTTAAACTACTAGGTGCTGCATTCCATGAGGCACCTCACTCGATGTTATCACGTTTATGGTCAATCTGAATTAGTGAAGTAAGTTGGATGGTCGGACTCAAACAAATTAACATTAGGTAACCGGCTTGTTGGGAATTAATATAGCAATTCAGACACCAAAGTCTCAGTTCACCAGAGTTAAAAAACATGCTCAAGACCAGAATCAATGTAATGATAGAATTCAATACATGCACCAGAAATCAGAATAGAATGTAGTAATTAAACATATGCCATAACCCTTTCTGAATACACATAAACCATAGATCCCAGAACCTAGAATGCAGTATGTACCATAGCATTTACAGAGAAATATATATATATAGGCAACAGAACTGAAACAGAGAACATAAAACCAGATAAAACTGGACAGAACTTTACTCCCCTTTGTTCGGCCGAAGCTCCAGTTCGTCTTGCTGTTTCGGCTGCAATGTAGGCTCAGGAACAGCCTTCCACTCCTTGCAAATCACCTTCCAGAGAGAGCTAGAGAACCGGCTAGAACATCCCCTCACTTGGCTTGGATCATTGATCAAGAGATCTCCCAAAATAGCCAAGATTCCTACCAACAATCAAACCTAAAGCCAACAGAGAAACCAACACCCTTTGCCACTATTTCAGGCCAAAGAGAACACCAAGGTTTCTTCAATCAAATGG